GTGTGTCTGTGTATGTGTGTGCACGCGTGTGTCTGTACATGTGTGTGCACGTGTGTCTGTATATGTGTGTGCACACGTCTTTGTATATGTGTACATGAATGTCTCTGTATATGTATACACACATGTATCCGTATATGTGTGTGCACACTTGTGTCTGTATATGTGTGTGCACGCATGTGTCTGTATATGTGTGTGCACGTGTGTGTGAACAGGGGTATGTGCCCTCAGTAGAGACAATATAGCACAGTGGTTAAGAGCGTGAGTTCCTCTTTCTGTCCCAAAATATTTGTTTTCCCCCAACTGTTTACCAAGGCATCAGTCCCCTCTCTACAGACTGAACCCATAGCTGTCTATTGAGAGACCTTATGAAAATTCCACAGGAGGAGACAGGAGGCCTGGCTAGCACAGTAAAGGAAGCAAAGCCCTGTAGCCTTGGTCTGCAAGCAGGGATTATTTTTACCAGATTTCCTAAGTGCTAGGAGATAGGATGAGTGAGTCTTAAGAGTGATGGGAGTGGGATGGAAGGAGTGAAGTGAGATCCATCCTGTAAGTACCAAGGCTGTGGGACCCGAAGTTAGGGACACAGAAGGCCACTCCAGACCAGAGCATTCAAAAAGAGCCAGGGGAAGAATATTAAAGAAAAAAAGGTCTCCTCTCTGACTTCTGCTGAATGCTGGCCCCAAGTAGAAAAGTGTGATATTAATTTAATAAATCACTTTGAAATGACTTTCTAAATGGGGGAGAATAAAGAGTGTAAGTTCCTTAGCCAGGTTGGGCTGGGTTCTGTGAAAGACGTGGTGTCTCAGTATCACCACTGTTGACATTTGGGGCTAGATAATTTTTTCTTTTCTTCTTTTTTTCAGTTTTTGGCCAGGGCTAGGTTTGAACCCACCACCTCTGGCATATTGGGGCCAGTGCCTTACTCCTTTGAGCCACAAGCGCCGCCCAAGAGGCGAGATGATTCTTTGTTGTGGGGGTTGCCTATGATTTGGAAGATTTATCTGCCCCACCCCTAGATACCAGTGGCAGCCCCGCCTCACCCCTGCGTGCCATTGGGACAATTAAAAGCATCTTCAGACATTGCCAAGTGTCCCCTGGAGTGGAGTTGGGGGGCGCGGCAGGAATCACCCCCTATTAAGAACCACTGTTCTAAGCCTCAGCTCCTTCCTACGTGATAAAAATAGCATGTAATTAGTTTAAAGATTAAATAAAGTAATGCGGGTAAAATCCCCAGGCCTGTTGCCAGATGCACAGTTAACACTCAGTAGATACTAGCTGCCAGTCTTTGAAATGTTTCCCTTCACGTGGCTTTATCTAGTATAATTACATTTCACCTGAAGGACATTTCTGCAGGTCTGTAGAAGGGAAAAGAAAGCATGCATTTGCCAGACCTAACACCTCCCAATTACACTGTACATTTACAATTTTGTCCTTTTTGTACATCTTGAGTTGTTTAGCCTTACAACTGTCCTTTCCTCTGAAGTTAAAAAAAACCAATCATAGCTCGGCGCCTGTGGCTCAAGTGGCTAAGGCACCAGCCACATACACTTAAGGTAGCGGGTTCAAATCCAGCCCAGGCCCGCAAAACAACAATGATAGCTGCAACCAAACAATAGCCAGGCGTTGTGGTGGGCGCCTGTGGTCCCAGCTACTTGGGGAGGCTGAGGCAGGAGACTCGCTTGAGCCCAGGAGTTGGAGGTTGCTGTGAGCTGTGATGTCATGGCACTCTACCCAGGGGGACAGCTTGAGGCTCTGTCTCAAAAAAAAAAAAAAAAAAAATCATCAAACTGAAGGTACCAAAAAGGAAATTTAGTTGAAACCAAAAAGCATAACCAGACACCCAATAGAAACCAAAAAGCACAACCAGAAACCAACAATGATGGCTGCAACCAAAAAACAGCCGGGCATTGTGACGGGCGCCTGTGGTCCCAGCTACTTGGGAGGCTGAAGCAGGAGACTCACTTGAGCCCAGGAGTTGGAAGTTGCTGTGAGCTGTGATGCTACGGCACTCTACCCAGGGAGACAGCTTGAGGCTCTGTCTCAAAAAAAAAAAACAAAAACAAAAACAAAAAAACAAACAAAAAAAACCAATCCTCAAACTAAAGGTACCAAAAAGGAAATTTAGTTGAAACCAAAAAGCATAACCAGATACCCTTTCCTGGTTAGTTACTTCTCCAGCAAGCTCTAAGACAGACGACGGTCTCTCTTGATTATTTTGCTTGCTTGTTGTGTGACCATGGTAGCAACTTCTGGAACTCCAGGAGAGATTTGGGCTCCCACAGTCAGAACTCTTCCTCTTACAAGTAGTAGAAGCTCATTTCAAACTAGCCCAGGCCAGCTCGGCGCCTGCAGCTCATTGGTTAGGGCACAGGCACATGCACTGGGACTGGTGGGTCTGGACCCGGCCTGGGCCAACTAAACAACAATGACAGCTACAACCAAAAAATAGCTGGACGTTGTGGCAGGCACCTGTAGTCCCAGCTACTTGGGAGACTGAGGCAAGAGAATCGCTTAAGCCCAAGAGTTTTAGGTTGCTGTGAGCTGTGATGCCACAGCACTCTGCCAAGAACAACAAAGTGAAACTGTGTCTCAAAAAAAAAAAAAAACTAGCCCAGGCAAAAATATTTAAAAAATAATAAATGGGGTGGGGGAGTGAGATTCCAGCTTCAAGGGCAGCTGCATCCAGATGCCTAAACGTCATCATGACTCTAACCTTTGATTCTTTGTTGTTGTTTTTTGTTTGTTTTGTTTTGTTTTTGACAAGAATCTCACTGTGTCCCCCTCGGTAGAGCGCTGTGGTGTCACAGCTCACAGCAACCCCCAACTCTTGGGCTTAGGTGATTCTCTTGCCTCAGCCTCCCAAGTAGCTGAGACTACAGGCACCCGCCACAATGCCCGGCTATTTTTTTGTTGCAATTGTCATTGTTGTTTGGCTGCCCTGGGCCTGGCTAGAACCACCAGCCTTGGTGCATTTGGCGGGTGCTATAACCACTGTGCACAGGCGCCAAACCTGATTCTTTGTTCTGAATATATTTTGTCTTATTTTCTTCTACTTCAGAAAGCTTCCTCTAAACTGCTCGGTATCATCCCTGGCAGCTCCAAGCTCCCGTAGTTATCAGCTTACGGACACCAAAGGACAGAAATGAAAGGTCTCCCCCTCTCCCTGCTGAAAACCCTACTGAAGACTCCCAGCCTGGTCCGGTCACCTGCTGCCCTCTGGCTCCCCCATGTGGCCAAAGGGATGCAGCCCCTGAGACTGGCACCCCAGTGAAGCCACCTGGTTTGAGAAAAGTCTGGGTGGGGTATAGGCATCAGGAAATGCCTGGGGGTGGGCGTGGGCAGAGCCAACACCACTAGCTATACTGTCCTTTACAGCTGACACTCCCATTAAAGGGAGCAATGAAATTAATACATTGTAGGCCGGGCATGGGCTCATGCCTGTAATCCTAGCACTCTGGGAGGCCAGGGTGGGTGGATTGCCTGAGCTCATGAGTTCTAGGACCAACCTGAGCAAGAGCAAGACCCCATCTCTAAAAAAGTAACTGGGTGTTGTGATGGGCACCTGTAGTCACAGCTACTCAGGAGTTGGAGGCAAACAGATCACTTGAGCCCAAGAGTTCGAGGTTGCTGTGACCTATGATGCCTCGGCACTCTACCAAGAACAACAAAGTGAGACTCTGTCTCAAACAAGAAAAGGAATGAAATTAATAAATTATGTTTTTAAAAGGACTCACACCTGTAATCCCTGCATTTGGGAGGCTGAGGTGAAGACCGACCTGGGCAACACAGTAAGACAGATGTTGTCTCTAAAAAAAAATAACAAAGTTAGCCAGGCTCATGGTGTCATGAGCCTGTGGTCCCAGCTTGGGAGGCTGAGGCATGTAGATCACTTGAGCCTGAGCGTTCGAGGCTGCCGTGAGCTGTGATCATGCCACTACCTTCCAGCCTGGGCAATAGCAACTGTGGATATTCCCTCTCCACC